CTGAGAAAATATGAACAGACGTTTCTCCAAAGAACACATCCAGATGGCTAATAGACACATGAAAAGATGCTCAACATCAGTCATCATCAGGGAAATACATATCAAAACTATGATGAGATACCACCTCACACCTGTCAGAATAGCTAAAATAAGAGACAAGTGTTGGCGAGGATGTAGAGAAAAAGAAACCCTTGTGCACTGTGGGTGGGAGTGGAAAACAGCATGGAGCACCCTCAAAAAATTTTTAAAAAATTATCCTACAATGCAGTAGTTGCACTACTGGCTATTTACCCAGAGAATACAAAGATACTAATTCAAAGGGATACATGCACCCTTGTGTTTATTGCAGCATTATTTACATTAGCCAAACTATGGAAGCAGCCCAAGTGTCCTTTGATAGGTGAATGGATAAAGAAGAAGTGGTGTGTGTGTGTATATAGTGGAGTATTACTCAGCCATAAAAAGAAATGTTGCCATTTGCAATGACAATGGATGGAGCTAGAGAATATGATACTAAGTGAAAGAAGTCAGAGAAAGATATACTATATGATTTCACTCGTGGAATTTAAGAAACGAGCAAAGGAAAAAAAGACATACCAAGAAAGAAACGAGCGAAGGAAAAAAAGACAAACCAAGAAACAGACTCTTAACAATAGAGAACGAACGTGGTTACCAGAGGGGAGGGGAGGGGTGGGTGGGCGAAATAGGAGATGGGGATGAAAGACTACATTTATCAGGATTAAAAAATAAATGATTTTAAAAAGTGACACTGAGGAGCCTAAATTAGAGAACTGAAAGATAAAATTAAGGAAAGTTCTCAGAACATAGAGCAGAATGATCAAGACATGGAAAAAGTTAAGAATCATGCAAATGTCCAAAAATCAGGAGGTCTGGCATTCATTTAAATAGCACCTTCAGAAAATGAGAACAGGAACAAGGGGCAAGAATACAACCAAAGAAAATTTCCTGGACTGATGACAAAATTGGAGTTTTCGGATAAAAAGTTCCTGCAAAAAGTAAAGCAGCAAAAATGAAAGAAAAACACATAGATGGGATCTTTAAGGAAAAGCCATTCATCAAAGAGAAAAATAGGTTACTTGCAGAGGATTGTGATTGACATGGGCATTAGGCTTCTTAAGAACAACTCTAGACGACAGAAGATAAAATGCCTTAAAAGGGTGCTTTGTGTGTGGTCGTGTATAAGGGATGGGTGAGTCCCAATTTTGTTTCCATAATTCTAACTGTGTTATTAAGGGCAAAACAAAGGCATTGTTTGCTTTCCACTTTGCTTTCTTGAAAAAATTACTTGAAAATCTATCAAAGGGAAAAATCCAAGAAATAGATGAGTAACGGAAACAAAACAAAATACCCAACCAAACAATGTGAAACAGTGAAATAGGTGCATTAGGAAGAAATCTTGGTAATGTAGCTTTTGCAGCACACCTGGAAAGGTAGATTCTGGGGAGAACATCTTGAAGAAAAAAATAGCTACTGTTACTCTTGTGTGCCTCAGATGAGATGAAGGCATGTGTTCTTTTGATCAATGAGGTAAAAGATGTTAAGTAGACACTTCAGGAAAGACCAAGAGCTTCACAGGAATGAACTGACTCCTACAAAGCAAGCAAAATCTAGCTTTATTCTAAGCAATTGATGAAATAGTAAAAATAGTGTTTCTGAAAGAACCAACTCAAAACTTTTGGTTCAATAAAGCAGGAGGAAGGAGGATTAATTAATATGCTGAATTTATGTATCATATCTGGGTTTACAATAACTATAATTTCCCCCATGACTGCTGTCCCGACCTTGATTTTACTTACAGAGAAGACTTTCCCTATCAATTGGCAATAAAGAATCATCCTAACAATAGGCTTAAATTTTGAACTTTGTTCTTGAGTAGTATACTTTGACTTTGGAAAAAAATTGACTTAATTTTACCACCTGGAAACTTATGAGATTCCCTTTAAGAAACATACATGTTCAACAATTTTTTAAAAATTAATGAAAAACCAAGATTTTATGTTCTTGAAACAGTTTTTTTTTTTTTTT